TGTTGCGAGTTCTCATCTATATCACGGGTATAGAAGCATAAGTATCATGTTTAATTTACTGGAAATCCCAAATGGATACACGACCGATTTAAATATGTTGTATGGTTTATTTCCAACTAATATAGTAAGTGGTAGTAGTATACTCAACGCGTACTGATTTTATCAAATGTTAGTGAAGCGTAGATATGTTGTACGACCCTATAACCAGAAAATATTTATATGTACGGAAAAGCATGTTTGCCTCAAAAATTTAGCGAAGCCGTGGTTTCATTTTCAACATTTTAAGAATAAATCTTTATTAAACTACAGGTCAAATGAACATATATAAGATAATGAAGTTAGAGTAGTTGAGTGTACCTATCGAAAATAGCTTAGATTTTCTGAGCATAACCGGCCGGAGACCGCGTTTTAAATAACGTTTGTTCAAAATTATAATGTTCGCAAGGATCATGTTACTCTTTTATTCGAAGGTACTGATTGACTGCTACATGTAATATATTAGCGCCTTACAGATATATAGACCTAGGCACCTCTAATGACGAATATGAACACATGTAGTGAATATCTCGATAGATGCTACTAACGCTTAATATATTCATGATGGGTACAGTATATTCAAGCATTTTGAATTTTTGTTTTAAAATATTAACTTGAATACTTGTAATAAAAGATCTTTTTTTTTTCACTTTATTTTTTTTGGGTTTTTTTTTTTTTGTATTAAGTATATAAATCCGAAGCAAACTAATCAACTCAAAAGTAACTTTATGAAATATATTTCATACAAAGCATTTATAATAATGTTCTTATTAAAATTATAATTCTATTAGTTAACGTGTGTTGAGGGGGGAAGGGGAAATCGAATCAAAATATCAGTGCAAATAAAGCTAGTGGTAAATGTTCTTATCGTTATTGAGAGTATGCTTGTGAAAGTGAATAATTATCAGTATTGTGGAAGCCATGAAGGCTAGCTGCTTCTCAGGGCAACAAAGAGGTGAAGTGACACAAAATAAGGGGTACAAAATTCATATTAAATTGACTTTAACTATTAATTATACATAGCATAGTTAGAATAGAAGAGAGGGGGAAACCATCTCAAGTTTTACTTTGGATATACATTTCATAAGATTTTCTCTTTGAATCCATTAGCATATCTAACTAATTAAGATTCAAATCCTTTTTATAAAATTCTTCTAACCAAATAAACAAATTATGTGTAATACCCGATTGAAAAAGGACCATGGATGTCAATATTTGAGCAACAAATAGTGTATTTTCTGCTTTCACGTTAATATAAAGACAATCTTTAACATGAGAGTCCATTTTCTTCAGGCTTTTAACAGCAGCTCCAACAAATATCTTAATATATTGCATAAATTAAGATCGCCGCAAAAAATTAGTTATTGGACAATCGAAATAATTTTAAATACGATATTGCTGGCTACCCTAAAATCTTCTGGAAATGTTGAGTCGAATTTCGATCTGTTATACTCTTACACCGATATATGTATATTCCAACATCTATCACTTAGGGGATAGTTGCCGCAGTTCAGCAGGACCATTAAAAGGTATATAAAGATTTCGGACTAGAAAAAACCTGGAGAACATGGCAGGTAAACTCTAAGAGATTTGTGACAGTAGATCATTCCTTTCAGAAAACCATGCTGGAATGGAAAAACGTAAGATTTGATAGCAAAAGCTAGATGCTAACTAACAATTCGCTCAAATAAGTTAAGTAAGGTACTGACTTGGCGATGCCTCTGTAGTTCTCTATGTGATGTCTATTTCCACATTTGTGAATTGGAATAAGGAAACTACTTTTGCAACACAAAGGAAAAACATTTGATTTCAAGAAGATATTGTCGACTGAAGATATGTGCAATAATATTGGTAGTTGAGGTAAATAAATCTATGGCTTGATGCAGAATAAGCAAAATAGTTGTATGCTTTATTTATTTTCATTTGCCGTCGACATTTATTAAGCCTGGTCAGCATCCTGGGTGAACACAAACCATATAATAATACGACATCGAAATTCACTGTACTAAATGTGGACCACGCAAATCTACCCATCGAATACCACTACGCATAAGGGCACACAAAAGAATTAATTCTTTACATGTTAACAGCATATCCAGTGTATCGCGTGTATGATGAAAATAGGTAAATCTATAACAAGCAGATTAGTTTTATTGACTTTAGATCACGCTAGTCCACGTTTTGAGTCTCCATCTATAGAAGGGTTTAAAGCCTGGAGGATCAATGTGTTCGTTACCAATGCTGTGAGTATTCATATCAACGAGGAGAATGAGAGGAAAGACAATCAACGTTGTTGTTGTTATAAGCAACAACAGTAACGAGCAATAATAGATTTATCAACGAGATTCGTAGTAAGTAACGCCTAACGCCTAACGCCTGTATTTACTGAAATTGAGCTAGCTGCAAGCTTTAATAAAGATTCCACTGCAACAACGCGGTAAACTTCTACCAGAATAATCACATATACAACGTTAACTCCGGATAGTCTCAAAAGTGATTCAAAGGAATGTGTCTTACATATGAGTAATAAGTGGGCAAATAATTCACTGATGGGTCACTCAAGAGCAGTACAGCATAAATAAGCAATTATATCTGCATTTATATCATCATTTATATTGCTTTTTACATATTACTTGTAAACGCTTGCATGCATTTCTATACGGTCTTGCCAATCAAACAATAATTTAAATAGTAATTTATTGCATTTTTGAAATAATAATTTATTGCATTTTTGTTTTAACTTTTCTTGTGACAAAAAGTAAATTTAGTTTCTCCAACGGAAGATGTGCCAAATAACTAACAAGCTCATGTTGTGGACACGTTCAGGTGATGGTCACATAATATCGGTAGATCAGAAAGCACAAATAGCTGATCAAAATCTTCGGAAACTGAAATTAATTCATCCGAGAGTCGAAGGCTTTGGAGAATATGTGTGTGAAGCTTGTTCAGAACCAATAGGCCTCCGGTTATTATTTTTATCACGAATTTTTGATCGTCAATATTATGCCCTAAACTTGTGGTTTGCATTAAGTTTGTGCGAGTGTGCGCACCACACAGAAAGGATTTAAGTAGACTGACCTTCTATTGCACCGATTCATTCAAAATCGCTTTCTGTAATGATCTAAGATCGTCTGTCCGCTTTGGTTTGGTGAGTTCAAGCAACGGCATACCTTAGAAGCCACTTCCTTGTTATTTATGTATCGTAGTGAAAGAAAGGGGGAAATTTGCCGTCTGTTTGGTTATAAACGTCAATAACCAAATCATACAAACGTAAAAAAAGGAAAATTGTGTAAAATTCAAGAAAAATTTTTTATGTATACAAGTCATAGTGCCTGAGGAAATTGAAAAGATGCTTACACTGAATAGAATTTTGGATTGTCGAAGCCACTGAAATTATAATGTTATTCGAAAGTATTCACGTTGCGGTGTACTCCCAAGTAAAAATCAGTTCCTGACGATTTCTTGTTCGCATTTAGGCTTCCCCATGTAGGGATCATTAGGTGAGCCTATTAAAATTCTTATTATTTTAATATTAGTAAATATGGATATTTGCTTTTTGCCTTTCCTTTCTATCTGAGTATGGAAACGAAAGTATTGAAAGCTCAAAATGAAGTCAAAATTGACTGCGGCTACGTTGAGACGGCGGCCTGTGTTGCCGATTAACAATATACAGCGTGTTCATCAAAGTGCATCTGCCAGAGCGGAAAAGTGCAGATAGTAATAAGTAGATATATGGAATATATTAAAATCCAATCTTATGCGTAGTTGGGCGTGGTTTCAACTCCGTAAAGCATTTTTATCAAAAGAACGAAGAAGAAGAAAAGACACAACAAAATTTCATCTCTGAATTCATATATTCTAAATAATATTAATATTCTAAATTTTTTATTCGCCAAATACTTTAATAAATTTCAGTGAAAATAATCTATGAAGAATTTTTTTATGATTAAACAAAGTTATTTTGTAGGACTACTTATTATTTATACATTTAGTGATTTTATTTGCATGTTTTTTCGTACATCTACACAAACACGTATATCACAGCGGATATTCCCTTAAAACCACACCAATCTAAATGCTTTTCCTTCGCAAGCGGTTGAGACCGTGGACACATAATGAGAATGAAGGAGCAGGCTACCAAGTGGCTACCTATTAATAGCGCTACTGGTGTTATTGATAATATACCCATAGCAGACAGATCAAGAGTTCCAAAGACTTTGCTGGTTTATATTTTGAACAAAACGTTAGGATGTTTTGCCCTTAGTTTTATCTGTTATAAGACTGTAAATAAGAAACTTTTCTACCTATTTTCTTTGGTAAGTTTCGCAACCGCGTCGGTACTACACGTGTCAAAATTCCGGACAGGTACCAATCAATTTTATGGTAATGAGTATGACCTGGTTGAATTTATTTCACACTTTGCTCGTCAAAGCATGGCCAAGTTTTATAATTCAGTTATAATAAAATACTTGGAAACTGAGTTAATAAGCGCTATTAAGATAGCAATACCTTTATAACTAAAAGTCCGTACACAACACGTTTTCAAGCTTACTTTTAATGTACTTTTCTTTTAGGAACTTGAGAAAATTTCTAATATTCATGATTAAGTTCATGATAGCAAAGGAAGCAAATTTATGAATGAAATGCAATATCGATTACAAAGTGACGACGAATGTAATTGTAAAAGAAGCGTAACAAAAAAAAATTTAAATAAATTCGATTAAAACTAATAATAGAGTTTTTTTGTTTTACAGCTAATGTTTTCGTATTTTCTAATTTTAGTGTGTGGGACAAAGTGTTTCTGTTTTTTTTTAATGTAGTTTATACCAGCAGAAATGAGTCTTATGAAGCATCTCCATCATCTTGCCCCCTTTGTAATGTAGCAACAGGTGCAGTGATTGAATATATAGTCAAGTCTGAATGACTTTCAAATAAGTCCTCAGTAGTCATCAGCGCTACTTTCGCTAGCTAATGAAATTTTTTATTTGAATTTTGTTACGTATTGTCTTCATGCCGTCTTCCAATTTGCGATCTAACGCCTTATTTAACATTGTCACAATTTCTGCAAAATACGCTATCTTAATATTCCACCCTAGTTTTTCGCCAACCATACGTGAAGTAACGAATAAAGCGGCTGCACCCGTTGTGGAATAGCTAAAAGTAATGGTGTCGTAATCCATCAAAAATAATTCGAGAATGTATCGAGCTAAAGTCAAAGCAGACACGGCGATTTCCCCGCACGCAGCATAACGTTGCAAACAGCAATAAGAAAGTAGTACGCCGACATCGTAGCCAATGGTGCGCAAATTACACTTCTACAAGTGTACGATTTCTTCATGCACACACAATCGAAATAGAAGTGCTTACCTAATGGGAATGTAACCTCATGAAATTTGCTGGCTGTAAGTAGGGCAGGAGCTCCCAGTAATTGCATCTTATCCTTATTAGTAACAACTTCACATAAGAACACATCCACCAACATCACCGTCACATATAAGATTTCATGACTAAGTTTGAATGTTTCCTGGATTTCTAAAATCCAGTCCACAAGCAAAGTGCGGATCGACTTAGACAAATGCACTTGACGTTTCATGTGGTCATCTATCGAAAATTTACCCTCGCGACTTCTTAAACAATTAAAACTATCCATAACGTACTGTGATACTAGCTTTTTTCTTTTAATACACCAACGGGTAAAGCATAGTTAGTTGTTGGTTTTTTTACCTTTCTCTATATTTGGAAATTCCAATTAAATGCGTCAATTAGCCTTATCGAAAAACGTGGTTCGCCTAACCATACATATAAAATTAATCTTAGTATCCGCTGAAAACGTAGAGAGTATACACATGTATAATATAATATATAACAAAATAGTTTAAAGCCCAATTTACCTCCTATCTACGTCATAAAATACTAAAAATTAACAAGGATGTGAAGATAAATTCCAATTTAACTAGCAAAGACATCTATCATTTCTAATAAGAAAACTCTGCTAACGACTTAACACAGCTCTGTTAAATAATTACAATTGAGATATAGTTGGATTTGAAAACCTACTCCCTCCATATTAAAAAAAGGAAAATATTTTTGTGGACATTTCATGAATCTATATGAACATACCTTCCAAACAAACTAAAAAAATTGAAATTCTGCTTATGGGAGCTAATCCGATACGAACGATGTTTTGAAATTTGATATGTTAGCGAAAAATGGATATGGAAAAACACCCATATTTGAGACTCTAGTGCGGCCAAACTAGAAAATGTCACCTATATTCACCTATATCATGTGAATCTATATAAAACTACTTATCGAATGAAGAAAAAAATTTTAACTTTTCTTTCGCGAACTATTTTTAACAATTTTTTGAAATTTGGTATGTTAGCGAAAAATGGGTGTGAGTATAGTATAGCATAGTACTAGTATAGTGTAGTATAGTTTAGCATAGTAGTAGTGCGGTACTAGTCTATAGTATAGTGCAGTACTAATATAGTGTACTCTAGTATGGTACTTTACATACTAGCACAAAGCACAGTATACGGTAGTATAGTATATACTATTACAAAATACGCCGTACTGTAGTACAAAATATACTAGTACAAAACGGATAAGTCATTGATTTATTCTTTTCTGGAAAAAGCGTTTATTTCAGGGAAATGCTAACCAACACTTTATTCAAAATGTTATACGCCGAGCTATGCATGTTTCCAATTTTCTTTTTGAGAAAATTCGAATTGCGTACCGACATAACCTTGGATTTTTTGAAAGCATCCACCATGAATGCATCCAAAATGAATAAAAGCTCACACATAAGGTACCGCCATCTCTCAAAGTACTTTGAGACTTATTTGTGGGTCAAGCTTAACGCGTACGTTCTTACTACTTCCTCCGAAGAAATTGAAACATAATGGTTCGGGCTAATTCAAAAGCCGAATACATTGTTAATTTTTTGTAAGTGATTATAACAGCGCCAGCTCTCAGGTGTATATAAGTATGGCGTTATTTATAATACCAAATGTTCTATTATCTACAACTAACTAGAAAGATTTATAATTCTACACACTATTAGAACTCATTTTGTAGCCCTGCTGGATAGTACATTATTTACAGCCCGAAACACCTAAATTTATACGGTTAACAGCGGTGGTACAAATGCAGAGATGTATAAGACGATAGAGGAGTATGAGAGATAAGTAGAATTTTATCACTTTGTTGTTGAGATAGAATTTGTATAGCTTTACCTTCATTAGAGAAACGAAGGCTTGTTTTGCACATCACCTTTTTAGCAAAGCTAATTAATGGCTTAACAGATTAACCAGCCCTGCTAAATGAGTTTAATTTCAATATTACGACCCCATAAAACTTAAGTTATCTTTTCCAATTTTGATCAATCTATGATCGGTTCACCGCTCTTAAGATGGCAAAAGGTGAACCGCGTGTATAACGTATCTCCACATGGGACTCAATACAAACCATAAAAAATAATCTCTATGCAGTTCGGACATTGGCCTTGTTATTTGTCAGCAATCCATAAAAGAAATTAACTCATGCATATCGTCAATTGATACGGTGTTGAAACAAGGTTTACTAGGCTTTTTCGGACTTTTGTATTACGATCTATAGTTGCCTTAGGACAGAGCGATTTTCCAAATAATTTAATTTTCCCGTCGATGTTCTTATACGATATACATTTCTCTTATACTAAACAATGTAACATGATGATTGTAATTAACTAGGCTGCTACATACGTAAGCTCAAGAAATGCTGTAACTCCCTTATTGAAGGTATATGCTTAATTTGGCGGAAATATTTAAAATTATGGCTAAATTGAAAGATAAAATAAATATCAAATACCATAAGCTAAAAATTAATTAAAAGTGTTAACGGAACACTTTCAGATATATTGTATTCCTTTAAACCACTTTAAATGAGTTATTTTTACTCTTTTCAGTGTTTCATGTAAGCGGCTATAAACTGTTGGAGAACATGTGCGGGTACATTACCTTTGCTAAGAATAAATAAAAACCAGTCATTAAGAATACTACACTCACCTTGGAACGAAACTTGGCTATCCCCACCACGCTAACTGAAAGCCTCTTTAACTTAAGTTTGGTCAGGTTGGCCGCCTCTTAGACTCGTTTAGTGTACTAACATGCTCCTTGTTATCAAGAAATTTTAATGGTTACAAATTTCATACCATAAGGCCTTTTTATGTAGAGCATTATATGAAGTTACATGATCGTAAAAGTTGTTGGTGTTTCGGCAAAACGTCGGCGAAAATAATTTTATTACACAGAACCTTCGTTGTAGCAGTGTCACCCCCCGAATCCATCAATTAGCCTGGCATTATACATATCATCACGGGTTCACGGTGAGAGGGCGAAACATTATTTCATTACAAAGTTCTTACTTCTGAAATAAGAAATTAACCATTACCCCTGTAATTGTTGTTGTTATAATTGGTAAAGCAATAAGAGAAATTTTTTACATATCGCACTTTTTGGTTTTTTAAAAGGACTTTTACTTATATAATTAAAAAATATATTTAAAAAATTTTGTTTCTCCGTGCATTACATACAACACTAAAAGCCTCATATGCTTCTATAAGTCCCTATAGTGCCAAAAGGCGAGAGGACTAGGCGAGAATACACCGAGCTTTCTCTTTTCATAGTACTTTCGTTCTTTTCGTATATGATACAGTGCTACGGTTTGTAACAGTGTCATATTTTGACAAAGTGATTTTTTCAAGAAAATGAGGTTACTTGCGTAACAGCACTAAACGAGACTTGTAAATCTTTTGATTTGATGCTCATACTGACGGGGTTGGTATAATATTTTGCCGCATTCTACTCATCTTTTACTTGATTGATTATGTGCTAAGAAAAAATGAATCCATTCCATACTTCAGAACGTTCAACCGCATATAAGCTGATTCGATAGCTATGTAGTATAACCAAAATTTCAAGCAGCGTCATAGCAAAGCCAACACATGTTGTAATTAGACGCTGGTTCTCTACACCGCTTACCATTTTGCCGGGTACTTTTAGTAAAACTCGTAATAAACAGTAGATACTAACGATTTTTCTTCCGAAAATTAAAGAAACTTAAGCTTTCTGCTGAAAACCCAACAATTGCACAATGTTACCAAATTCATTTAAATATCCGCTGAGCCGTTATATGCTTGAAAAACAATTTCCTATTGACTGATTCGGGTTTGTCTAGCGCATCAAACAAAAACGCATATAACATTTAAAATGCCTTACATGTATTTAAAACAATTTTAAGATGTTTTAAATTGTACTTCATATGAGTAATATAAGTAGCACTACAACAACTATTTTTTGATTTTACCTAAGCAAGCCAGCTAAGCATTTTAATGTATTACCAGAAAGATAACGGCAATGTTAATTGGCAAACGTGGAGGGAAATATTTGAAATAACTTTCAATTATAATTCTTTTGAATATAGCGCAAATGCCTCCTTATCAAACTCCACGACATTTTACCAGCAAAATCAGTTTTGGAATGTTTCTGCTAATAAACTAACTAGTTATTCAATTTAGGATAAACGAGTTCGAACTCCTTTGGCTTTTTTGCCATGGCTAGTTTGGCAGTCGTACGCACGTCCATAGTCCGATGACTTGTAAGTCTGGACAAGGTCGTGCGTACGCGCTATATATTATGATGATTTATAATCGTAATTTTGGGTTGATTGTTTTATATCATCCAACCTACTTGCTCGCAGGGTTAATACTTTAGATCACTGTTGCATATTATTATAAGAGTTTGTTATAAACAACGTACTACCAACTACTACTACTACCAAATTTGACGAGTAGAATAACTTTTGACCACCTGCGTCAAACGAATCACTTTTGGAAGCTTAATACTTAATGTCTTCATTTTCTTTAGAAAGTATTTACGTTGATTTAACTGCTTTTCCAAAAAAAAAAATACTTTATCGAGTCAAAATATATTAATGCCTATGTGCGATACAGTCAGTTCTGAGAACGAAAATCAGGGTTGGTCGCTGTAGACGTCGATGTTTGACGCGATTAATAAATATAAAGTCCACGCAATCTAACTAATGATACAAATTCCACAGTTATTATAGTTGATGCTTTTTTCTTATTGCACTACAAAATAAAAGGATATTGTCAAAAAGAAATGAACAAAAGAAATGCAGGGGAATTTATATTCGATTTATTGAGATAGTGCTACAACAAACCCGTGTTGTAATAATAGCAAGTTTTGTATGGCGTTGTATTCAAACCGTGCTTTCCATGTACTCTGTGGAATGAGGGATGCTCACACTGAAATATACGCCTAATAATCCAGCCAATTGTTATTATTCTGCTAACTTTCTTTCTAGGCTATTGTAATGGTGTTACCCCTTTATAGCTCCTTTGAACACTATTATTGCACATTTTATTCCCAAAAATTTGTCAGAAGTGTGCCTCTTTCTAGGCTGTTAAGTTCAAAGTGGTGGAATTTCACAATAACAAAAAAATATTTTTGTGCCTTCTTTCTATTCTCTTTTCTTTCTTTAAATTTACAGCTAAATCTTGAATATTAAATTTCAGTTAGCAAAATATTTTTTTCATATAATTATAATATATACACATGACATCAATTTGCGAAGCAGTCTCCG